TGAAATTATAAAAAAAAGTTCTCTAATTTACATAAAACATATTTTCTAAATCTTTCATATTTTTATATTAATATTTTGTATGCATATCACATTAAATATAAATCATATTACTTCTGGTATATTTATTCAAAGACATGCTGCATTCACATTATTCTTGTACAGGGTATTTATTATTCAATCTCTCGCCTGTTACCCATGCTCCGCTTGGAACTGCATAGTTTTCTTCCTTTTTTGAGCATTTTCTTTTTTCGAGGCGCCAACTATTTGGTCACGTATCGTGCGCTTATTATGAATGTGCTGATATATAGGACTACATACCTATAAAGTACATAATATACATATGCTCCGCTCCGCATGTATGGCGAGAGAGCAGCGCGTGCGGCATATTATCGCATGGCTCGCACGGCAGGCCAAGAGCCTGGCCAGGGCCAGCAGCCATGGGCCATTATCAGGACTCCAAAACACACAGCATACAACACAAAATGCGATGACGCGTCGCGGCGGCTCTATTTGGCCTGAAGGCTCAGATAGAGCCAAAGCGAAAGGAAGCGAGAGAAACAGAGAAATAGAGAATCAGACCACATAATCAAAGTCAGCCAGAGCGGGGCAGTGAGTGGAGGGTCTCCACTGTGTGGCAGCATGGCCAAGTGCTGCTCTCGTCGAAAGTTTTTCATGTCCGAAACAGTCGAGAATAGGCGCGTGAAATGCAGCCATCCCGCTCACGCGCTGACTCCGAGTCCGTGCGAAACCCGGCATTGGACAAGGCTCCAAAGTTTTAGACAACTTGTTTGGGTTCGGTTTTGGTTTTTGGGTTTTAGGTCTGCAGGTCTGCTTAGTTGCTGCTGTGTTGGATGGGTGGATGTGTGGATGGGAGGATGGGGTAAAGGTTGTGACATTATGCCAACGCATTGATTGTCAACATCCAAAAAGGGAATTGAACTCTGCGACAGGAAGTTTGTGTCTGGGCTCTTGTTTCACTCGCTTATCAATCAGCAGCAAGTGCCTGAGAGACCTTTCCATCGCATTAGTGGCCAGATTTAAGCCACTAATGTTGCTCAGTGTACATATGAAATGCTGTTCATCTACTTTTAAGCAAAATCGAAAAAATAAAATAAAAAATGAATTGTTATAGTTATGTATGCTCTTTTTTTTGTTACATTTACAGCTGCTGCTGTTGGCCATTGTTGCTGCACGATTTGGCAGCTCAACGCGGCGCTCAACGCTCGCATTGGCCTTTGAGGAGTCCAGGCAGCAGGACGCTCCAGACAATAGATACAACAGTTATTACAGCAGCAACGAGAACGATTATGGCAGCATTGATGGCATCGCAGACAATGACAACGAAGCAACAGCCAAATGGCAGCAAAAACTATATGGAAATTCCCAAGAGCAACTGCAACACGAGCAACAATTTGCTGATGATCCTGAGGCAGCTCGCAATGACTTTCTCTCGCAATTGTCTGACTTAAATGCGGCTGTGAAAGGTGCAGGCATGTTTGCTGCCCAGCACAGCAGCAATAGCAACAGCAACAACAACAACGACAACAACAACGACAACGACAACATCAACAACGATAACAATGTGTGGCAAGCCGCAGCTGAATTTGAAAGAGGCGAAACGCATTTGCCACAGAAGCGACGCAGTCATGGCAGCTATATGAACAGGTAGGTGACTCGCAGCACCTGTACAGGGTATATATATTGTAGTACGTATACATGCCCATGTTATGCCCTTGCCATGGACAACAAGTGCAAATTAGCAGCAGACATTACTGCTGCTGGCTGTGCCACATTCCTCAATGTGCCCCAAATATGATAGCCGTAAGTCCCGTCCGCCCACAGCTGAGCTGCTGGATTTGGCTGCAGCTTTGCTCTGCATATCAACTGAAAGCCAGACCTTCATGCATTTAAGCTGATTCGCCTGCATTGCGCTTTCTTTATCATTCTTTGTTATTTTGCGTGTATGTGTGTGTGTGTTTGTGTTTGTGTTTGTGCGCTGGGTAGATCAGGCTTAGCAGGATCAGGCGATTGCGTTGCGCCATGCCAAAGATTACGTAATTCGGCGTCAAGCTGAAATCAAGCAACAAAAGATTGACGAAGACAAAAGACTGGGAAATCCACAAAGAAATAAAAAAAAAACAAGTGTCACAACTTGTGTGGGCATAAGTAGACCAATGAATACGCTGCTCAGGCAGAGAATCTATAGAATTTATTGAGCTTAAGAATTTGTCAAAACAAAATGTAATAGTTGAAAAGGGCTTTGTTGTTTATAATTTCTTATAAAGGCTGCTGATTATAAAACTATATATTTTTAAAATAAGCAGATAGATTTTTTCAAAATGTATTTATTTACACATTTTTTACACATTTTTTTTAAATATATAGAGTTTATATATTTACACATTTTTTTGAATATATAGAATTTACGGCTTCGTATTTTTAACATAAAATAAAAGAAAATTCACTACATTAATATTTGAATTTAATTTTTTAAATAAATTTAAAATGTAAAAATATATATGTTTAAA